AAAAAGCTTTTTCACATGTGCACACAGCTGTGAAGTCTTTTTCTGATTTGGCATTGAATCTGGAAGATGCTGGACTCTGGTTAAGTTAAAGGATATCAGACTTCCCCCTGCTGCATAAATAACCTACCCCTGGTGGTGGCTGTGCTTCAGAGTGAGGTGGTGTTAACTGCATGCTCCCAATTTCTGAAGTTAAGGGTCGATCCCTTTTGCTGCTGGTGGCACAGTGTCTATGGGAGGGAAATGGTTTCAGTCCCATCCAGAGAATAATGGTGATATACATACATTTTTATTTTACTGAAATACTGAACTTGTCCTTGTCTTTCTTTTGTACCTGAAGCCAGATAGAATATTCCCATTTAAGCAAAATACATGTTCATGTCTTTGGCCATGTATGTGACTGTATGTAGGAAAATGAGTCATCCCAGACGAGGTTGCCTGAGTCAGCCCGCTGGGAGTGTGCTAGTCTGAATGCAATTCAATGTACTTCACATAGCACTATGAGGTCTTGGGCATTGGAGACAATTTCAGGGAAACTTGTCTTCTGAGTAATCTTTGATTTCCCAATAGCTTCTAAGAGCACAGCTGCTTTAATTGCCAACTGTTTCAGCCATAAATTGTGCGAAAGTTTGCCCAGCTTGCTATAGGGAGGTTAGGAAGAGTATTCAATGAATTGCAGACTCCTGATTGGCAATACCAGGAACAGCCACATTTCCTGCAACAGCCTGGGGTTTGGCATCCAATTTTCTGGAGAAAATAATGAAGAAATAATTTTCTGTTCAGCTTGTATCTGTCCAGTAACTTACAGGTGTAAAAGCAGGGGTAATTCATATGTTTGTTTTCTTTGAGGCTGGGTTGTAAAAAGGGCTAATTGCCATTTTTCAGAAAGTTTATAAAAAGAACTTTAGAGTGCAAAAGAATTATTAAGAGCAGAAGGGGTAAATAAAGATGCCTCAGGCACCATCAGAAGATTCATATCAGTTCATTGCAAGTTCTAGATAGATGTAAGTTATATCACTCTGTAGCTGAAGGAGGGAAACAGGTGGCTCCTAACCCCTGAATCAGGGCTTTGAGAACGTAAGTAGGGCACCTATTTCTGTCCACTACTGATATATTAGGCTGAAGTGCCTCTGAATGGTGAGGAGGTGTTACAAGCCAAGGGGAGACCATCAAGTGACCCATAGGAAACAGTAAGGAAGGTGAGGTATATGAAAAGGTGCCTGCCTCAGTAGCTGCTTCTTCCTGGGGAAGTTCAAGAATGTTTTGTGCCAAACCATTTAACTTTGCTTAGGATAGACCTAGACAAAGGTGGGGGGATTCAAAGAAGAAATGTCAATCCTAATATGAGCACTTGTGCATGTAGAGTTTGGTGGGTTAGTGTGACTGTGTGGAAACTGGCTCAATTGCTTGAGCTGCCAGTGAAAAAGCTAAACTCAACCATCTTGGAAAGAAAGGGTGGGAAGAGTTGGATTGTCTGAGGTAGAAGAGACAGAAGAGTGAAAAGGAGGGTGATGCTGATGGCACACAGTCTTTGCTTCCTGCTATCTGCAAGCTTCCCCCTGAGAGGGGGATCCTCCTTTGGGAATAAACAGGTAATAATTTATGTGTAGGCAATCTGGTACTGAGGATAGGATAACTTTCCCAAGCCTCAGAATAAATGAGCCAGAAGAGGTGCGTGCTACATGTAAAGCTGAATGAATCTGTTAGTAACAGCATAAGGTCGTCTGCCCATTTTATGTAGCAAGATTAGGACATCATCTTGATTTCCAGTTATTTATCATTATGTGATGCATTGGGTTTGGAACTTGGTTCAAATGGTGGGCAAGGGGATTAGGCTCCACAGGACATAACTCCTGTCAGTGCTAGTGCTCTGCCAATGAAGGCAGCAGCTCTGCAGCACTGTGAATGCCTGCAGCACTTCTTTGTCCAGAGGGTACTGAGGTATCTGTGACGTGTCCTGCATAGCTGGAAACAACATCCCTTACACACTGTAAAGGTTGTGAGCCAGTTAGCACATCCAGCTTTTTTCTTTAACTTAATTAAATGTTAGAAATGAACAGCTGGAGCCAATGTTGTTGGCTTCAAACACTAGTTTAACACTATCTAATCCAGGGGTGGAATAGGAGGCTACCTGAGACCCCTTTCAGCTTCATATATCTCATACTCTTAAGAAAACAGTTTTTATCACCCAGATTCAGTACAAGATTTTAAGATTAAATAAACTCAAACTATGTCTTTTTTCCCCCCCAGGTTGGTACTAGAAAACACAATACATCATGGAAACATTGAGAGTCTTGCCATTACAGCACCAAGGCTGAGCTCCACAGAAGGAAGCTCTGCCCTGAACTTACCCTGGACCCTCAGCCAAAGCACTGGGGCTGTGTCTGCTGGGTGTGAGTGGGTTGGCACTTGCCCTTTGCCAGGAGAGGTGGGGGCCAAGAACTTTAAGCTCCCCTGGAGCCAACAGCACTTTGCCAGGCAGACAAATGGAAAACAGATGAGGCTCTGCCAGAATTTTGTTGCAATAGCACAATTTCGGTAAAACTTCCATTGAAATTTGAAGTCAAATGAATGGAAATATTCCATCTATAGCACCACTTAGACCTCTTAGTGAGTAATTGCTGATTAGTTTCATTTACTATTATGTCAGCCATTGAGAACCAGCAGGGTTTAATGAAAATGAACATCAGACCCAGCTACTCTGACTTACCTAGGCCTGCTGCCCTTCTTTAAGATAGATGTTATTGAATGGAGTTTTTGATTATTTACGGACTAGAGATGATTTTGCCCTCCAATGAATGTCCCATTTTCTGCCCCTTACTAAATCCAGAGCTGAAATATTACTTACTTCTGCTTTTGTTTTTTTCCTATATCACTTCTGGCATTCTTGACACATACATTTAATGACACACATCTATGGCCACTAAAATTTCTAACATTTTCATTGATTTATTTTTGTCCTTGAAGACATAACCTTTTACTTTTCTTTAACTCCCCTCATTCATTTACTACAACTGTAATTGTTTAATTAAAACAGCCTCCTGACACAAGAAAATTATACCTCAAGCATCATCAAGACACAGCAGAGCTGATGCTCTAGGGAATGAAGGCTGCCTAACTAGAAGGGAAGCAGAAATCAGGGGAGATGTTTGTGGAATAGGTGCTGTGTATATGTCTGGGGCTGCAGTGCCTCCCTCATTAGCAGGCAGGTTGCAAATGCTGGCTGGCTGTGGGCATGGTTCTCACATGAGCTCATTGATGCTGGAGCTGTGTGTAGCCCAGTATATTTTGGGCTATGAGTATACATCAGACAAGTATGTAACAGCGGGAAAACCTGCAGCTGCGATGATGGGAAGTATTTATACACAGTGGCACCATGTGGTGTGCTCCCCTATTCTATAGTCAGTGATATATATACTCCCATACTATATTTAGTTGCTGTACCCTGTGTCCCAGCTAATCCAAAGAATGAGGGCATTCAATATCTCACAGATTACCCCACTTTTAACACCAGCCATTCACCATACCCGATGACATCAATGCAGAGCCATGAATAGACAGAAAACAGGGAATGCCAAAGGCTATCATATGAAGGAGCTGCCATCTTGCTCATCCGTGAATACATGGATACACAAATTTCTCTCTGAAAAGGGAATGAAGTTTTAGCAATACCTGTGTTAAGGCTGCCATCCTGACTCTGCTTGGTTTTCAAACTAAAATTCTTCTCCTGCTAGAACTAATGAAGATGAAGAATAATCTGCAGTCTTCAAAAAATCATTTATTATACATTAATGGATGGTCGAATAATAAAAATCCTCACCAAGACTATTGTCAGCATTAAAAATGAATAAAAAACTCCAACATCCAGCATTCCCAGCAGTGCTAATAGTTAGTGAGCAATACTGTCTCTACTCCCAGAATTTGCAGCAGCTGCATATCACTGTGACCAATATATTTTAACTCAAAAACTTGACATTTTACAGCCCCTCTACCTCTGTCTTTTTTTGCCATAAAAAGGCAGTGACTTATGCCATTGTTCCATAGTTCTGTTACTTTTCTTGAGGTCATCTATATATTTTCCGTGGACTACAGGAATTCCTAAGTCTCTACACTCAGCTGTAATCACAATATGTGTTTTTACACTGAAGTAAAGATGCAGTTACAATTTCATATAACTCTCAGTAGTGATAACAGGAAGAGAGGTATGGTGGTGTTTTACTATTAATTCTAGTCCATGTTGAAGGTTTCTTCAGCAATAAAGCAACATTTTTTTTTGTATTAGTCTGCTTAAAATAGAGAAAAATATTATCGACACTGTTTTCTTTGAAAACTACAAAGCCAGACTTAACGTTCATGAGGAAGTGTTATCCCGTATGTTAAGGACACAGTACTCAAGTGGGCAGATAATACTGCTCAGAAAGGTAGCATTTGACATGGAATATATATCTGATATTTCTTTCCAGCTAATCTGTAAGTGTACAAAAGATATACACATATAGACACACAAACAGAATTTGTGTGAAGGCAAGGTGAGAGCAGAGACAACTTTAGAGTGCTTCACAGCCTTCTGAATTCACAGGTGTGTACTCAACAGGTTTCTAAGTCAGAAAATGAAAACTCCAATTACATGAGCTTGGATTTGTGTAAGTGTGGCAAACCCAACAGTTCCACCTTCCCACTCATTCTCTCTGCTGAGGAGTCAGCAAGACCTCTCTGGCTGATTTTCCTTGGTGTATGCAGAGAACATATGTAGTGAGTACTCCACAACACAGCCCAATTCATGATTTAACTGTTAATTAAGCATGAATATAACATGGAATGAAGCCCTTTTTTTCCTGTCTTGCACAGCTGTGTAGCATGATACACTTGAGATTGCCAGTAATGCTGTTAGCCTTGCATAACTTAACTAGACAGGGTGTTGTTGAATGCTGATGAATGCATACAGCAATCGAGCATCTAATTCAAATTTGTGGTGTATAATGATAACACAAAACTTTAAGACATGCATTAAAAATTCTCAAGACAAAAACATCTCGAGATTTATTATAATGTAAATAGTAAACATATGAATGTGCTTTTACACAGGTAGATGTTAGGGCTTGCTACAGGTTTATTTCAACCACTGGTGAATAAAAATGAACCTTTTACAAACCCACCAATTCAATATGTTTCCTTCAAAACAATATTAAGTGTGTGGCTACGAAAACAGAGTGACACATTAAAAAAAAATCAAAAATCATGTACCCCAGGGTAACATTTTTATGACGAGAGGAAAACAAAAATTATGTACATAAATACATATATTTTTATATATAGCAAATTACAGTTTCCTGCACTGAACATTTATCAAATACACAAGTACTGAACAATACTGGATAGGGTGCTTTGTCACACCTTGTGGTCTCCTTAAATTCCTGTGAAAGTGGAAGACAAGTTTTTATGGAGGATACAACTTGTTCAGTGATGTAAGCTCTCACAATAATTAAAAATTAAAGAACAAAAAAACCCCTACAGCAGAAATGACTGATATTTCCAGCACAGGCATCTTTAAAAACAAAATGAGAATACTCTACTGTTCTTCAAGCATGTGCCCCAACAGAGAATCAGAGAGCTTTATTCTGTACAACAGCTGGGTGACGAATCTGGGCAACAAATCTAACACTCATCTTTGTCCACTGGCTTGCCAAAGCCACTGTTTTTCTGATAGGCAGGTCAGTCAATCAGGCAGGGAGGAGTCACCTTCCAGATCCCCTCCAGAAACCATACCCTTTCTCTTGGACCTGGGCAGCCACTCCCATGATCTTCAGATGGAAAACAAGGCACTGGCTGGTTTCTGGCCATTACCTTTCCAAGGCTCTAGGAACTGCGGTTACATCGTGGGAGATTTTGAAAGGGGTGACACCAAGCTATTTTTGAGGACTATGTACAAAGTTATTTTGGTTTTGAAAATAGAAAGGATTCACACCACACTTTTCATTTCACCTGGCCAGAAATGCTAAGCTCAGATTCCTAATGCATAAATAACTATCCTTATTGACAAGGATGTTGTAGACTCCATTGGGTTCTTGTGACCTTACCAGAAACTGTCTTCAAAGTACTGCAGTTACTAGCTAGGAATAACAATCCCATTTAGATGTTCTTCAGAGCACACAATACAAATATTTATATTATAAAAGGCAGTGGGTTGTCTTCACAGGTTAATGATGTCTTGAACTTGGGGGATGGTAAATCCAGTCCATTACAATAAGAGTCATACTCACAATCATGAAGATTATGCCAGCTATGAGGAAAATAAGAGCCTGCAATTGGAAAATGAAATTTAATTAATAAAGCAAGTGACTGAGCAGGCGGTAGCTCACAGATTGTCCCACTGGATTTGCATTAGTGTAATACTCATGGCCTGAGTTTGGCTTATTCTGTGTGACTAAAGCCCAAGTAATGTTGCACAGGGATAAATGAATCAAAGTTCATTCTGTGTGAATTTCTGTTCAAGAGAGATGGATCTTACACAGCTAGATCTGAAAACAACCTACTTTGGTACTGCGAACAATAATAAAAAATATAACAAAAAACCAACTTTGTTTTTTTTATCTTTAAAAAATGACAAATTTTCAGTCCATGATCATAGTCTCTGACATTAAGAACAACTTCAGAGTTAATCTGCTTAATCCTTATTAGACAAACAAGTAAACCCATATCTCTTATCTGACAGTATTTCTGTATACATTCAAGTGATTCAGATGCTTGTAGTCACCCTTTGCTTTAGTGGAGCTTTAGTTTGCCATAATCTGTCCATACTTAACAATCCTCTGTCTTGTGAAACAAAGATGAATATTGTATGTGATTTCAGTGCAGAGTGTGAATTTCTAGATGTGCCTAAAACATCAACATGAAGAGTCAACAAAAACACATGAAAAAATATTCATAGTCTCTCTACTATAACAGCTACAAAAGACACTATAGAAATAATTTCATCATAATACATTTCTTTTATACTCAAAGTATGTATCAGTTAACTCACATAACGTTTGTGAGTGTATATATATATATATAGATGTATATATGCCCATCTGCTTACATTATGTGAAATATATATATATATTTCATCAATAACTTTACTAATTACATTTTCAAAGAACATTTCCTCCATGATAGTTAAATGTGCAGACAGTTATTGATGTTTGGGATGAAAGGTATTGCAGTGGCAGTCCAGCATGACATACGGACACATGCTGTGCATAAATGATAGACTGTCATATATGTATCTTATAGGTGTGTGGACCTGTCTCAGAGAAGAACTCACTATCACTTTTTTATCTCTGCAGTACCACTTCCTTCTTAACCTTGACCTCAAATCTTCCTGTTAATCCACAGCTGGTCTTCTAGCATGAACCAACAGCTTCTTATAGACTGTCTTGGCACTATTTATGCAAATGCAGGTGTTAACTGGAGTTTAGATCAGATTAAGTAAGCCCCTTTCTCTAGAGGTTTAAGACACTTTTTATCCTAAACATGTAGGATATTGTTAGGGTCAGTAGGGCACTAAAGGCTTTGTCTTGAGAAGCCTCAGATGAATCCTACTGCCCAAATTGTATTTTGAGTGAGAGCAAGTGCCAAATGTTGCAAGTCAAAGGTCTGAGTAATAGTGAAGAGTGGAGGTCACTCTCCACACCCTCCCACCCTTCCTTTTGCAGCTGTCCCCAGTCCTCTTACCCCAATCTTCTGGGGAGACCTCAGGGGTTCCTTCTTAACAATTCGCAGGTAGAAGGCACCAGGAAGGATGAAAATCAACATTGTAGCAGAAGAGGCTCCTGGAAGAGAGAGCAGAGCTGAGTGCTGCACCATTTGACAGAAAAGCAGAGTGGTGCACCTGCAAGAGAGCCTGTGGGGAGGCAGTTGCCATTCTGAGACCAGCTGTACAAAGGGCTCTCTGTGAAGACAGCATTCATGGAGAGCTGTAGATGTCCAAACACTTATTTGGGTGCTTGGAGCCCGAAAAGACACTTGTTCCTGGGAGAGTTTTTTCCAAGTGGTGTGGCTGCCTGTGGTGGAGATGTCTGCACGTCCATGCTTGGTGAAGCAAGGACAAATAGACATTCCCAGGGTGGGATGGCCCTGGAAAGCAGGCATTGAAAAGAGAGTGGATGATCCATGCCTAAAAAGTGCCTACTCCTCTCTGCTCAGCAGAATCTAGCATGAAGACCTGGGTATAAAAGGCAGGGAGGAACACACCAGCTGCAGAACTCCCATGGAGGGAAAGATGCCTTTCTCAAGGGCATCTGCATCCCTGAGTCCTCAAGCACTCCAAAGCATGGAGGCTCTTCATGGACCTCTTTGGTCAGTGGCCAAAACTGACCAAAAGAAAGTAGTAGGGAGAGAACTGTTAATGTCAGAAGAAACGTGTCACTTTTCTTCTTTTTATAGCACAACAGTTTGGAAGTCAACACATTTTTTCATGCTATAGGTGCTTGAAAACCAATTTTTCCTCTCCTCCACATCTATTTAATTCCTTTTTGGTCAAAATGGGAATTCCTTACCAGATTTTTATTGGGTTATTGAATTCCATGTGCCTTGTGCAAAATAACAACAAAGTTAAGTAGCCTGTAGCTTTGTCTGTCAGCTGTTTGGAAATCCCCTATAACTTCAATTTGTGTTCATATTACTCTACTGTAAGACCCAAGCAGAGATTGACCTTCAGTCCCTAAATGTAAATATGTTGTAGAAAGGATAAAAGAGTGATAACAAGCCAACGAAAAGTATTTGTGAAACCTACCGATAAATCCAAAAATGTCTTTAATAGTTGGGACAAAAATTACAAGCAGATTATTAAAAGCCAAAATTACTGCTGCAATCAGGAAATGTCTTATCCAGCTGAACGGCCTTTTGGGAAACAGCAACGCACTGATAGATGAACGGATCTGCAAGATGAGAAACAGCAGGGAAAGTAAAACAACAATTTATCTTTCCTTTCACTTAAAAAAATGATCTGTATTAGGTAGTTCTGCTGTGAGAAGTTCTGACTGAAAAAATGTGTTTTCAGTCTTTGATTCCCATAATGTAATCTCACTCTGATGTAGGTTTTTGAGAACTAGGTTCACAATTTAATGCAGAAACACAAATATTTGCAGTGTAGGAGAAAGTCAAGTAAATAGGGTGTAAAATCAGGGACATGAAATCTGTTCAAGTGAAAGATGCTTATATCAGCAAAAAAAACCCTCAAAGAACCCCCACAATAAGTACTAATCAGCAGGCAAAAAGAAGAGTATGTGTGAAATATGAATTGCTGTATTCCTGAACCTGACGAAAATCCCACAAGAATTCTGTCATCTACTTTTCTGAGACATAGAGGAAGCTGTTTTAATTAATCATTAAATATATACATATACATATCTGAAAAGAAGAGCATATTTTTCAATGCAACATGGAAATTATAATCCTAAAACCTTTTTGCAGAAGATCCTTTTTTGCTTCACTCACTTTCTCACACATCATGGATTTTTTTTGCTTTTACAGCATAAAAGATGGTAAGTAGAAAAAAGGTCAAAAGCAAATCCATTTGGTGACTGGAGATAATGTTATTCTCAAGTACCACAATTAATTTAAAAGTTGATATTTAGAAATTGAACAAAAAATATTTTTACATTAAAAAAAAGCTCCAAATGCACTTCTGTTTGGTTATTTTAAGATAATATAAAACTGCCTCTGTGTGAGTTTGACAGTTGAATAAATATATGGGGTTCTCTCAGTGTAATAAACACCAAGAGTTTTGTTTTTCTTGTTTTTCAGGTTGACATAAACTAATATTAGGAAGAGGGAGGCAGACTGAAAATATTTTGTCCACTTTTTGAGTTGTTGTAAAACAGGTTTACTACAGAAAAAGACTTCTGCCTGCATTCCTGTGAACTTACTGTCAGCATATTGTGCATTATTCCTTTTCATGACACGGTCCTTAAAAAGAAGGTATCAAACTGAAGTTCTACAGTGACTAATGGTATATAGATCTATATTTAATTTATTTTTTTTGGCAATGCAATTACTTTTTTAAAAAAATAAAAGACTCTGACTACTTTAAGAAAATACAAATGGGATGATTCATAAAAAAAATAGTTGATATGATTATACTGCTTATTTGAAGTAATAAGACCTGCTGAGCTGGTTGTTCTGATAGAATGTGTAAAGCTCTTTGATATTCTGGTTTCCAAGCAAATTGCATTTTCTCAGGAGTTTTCTGATGGAATAATCAGTGCTGTGGTATGTAACTCCTAACTATTCAAATATAAAAGTGATTATACAGAAATCTAAAAATTCAAAATGCTACACCTGACAGACAGGCTTTTGCAATGCCATTAGCTTGTCTTCCCATGAAGACTGATCAATTTGTTAAGATTAATTTAAACATTTAGCCACTGGTTTGAACATGTTGTTTAACTTGATGTTTACTTGGTGTTTAAACCTGACGTTTAAGGCAGAGCACTGGAGCTCTCAGACTTGAGGGACTGACTACTCTGGGTGCTTTATACCTGAATTTTTTTATTTTTTATTTAGTAGACAACATTGAACAGTGATCACTGTTCTTAGGCATTTGTCAGCTGGCCTGGAAACACTACCTAGGCAGAGCGTGTGCTGCATCCAGGACAAGGGAGCAGCAGGACCCCTGGGTTACTCAGATGGGAGCACTGTGGTGTGATGCAGCTTGCTGGGAGCCCTCCAGCAGCGCGATGCTGGGCTTGTACATGCTGTACCAGTGACACACCAGCCTCCCAAAACCAAGTGATGAGGATCAGCTATTTTCTCCTCTGCTGCATGGCAGCTCAGGGAAGGCATGAGGCACAGTCTTATGTATTCAGAAGCCTGGAGTTCTGTTCCCTAGGGGAGATTGATCCCTGAGGAGGATCGGTCCCTCTGCAGAGCAATTTCTTTAGCTGTGCCTTTCTGTCTCTGCTACTGTGGTTCTTATGTTTTTTATGTTTTTTCCCAGTGAAGAGCACACAGAAGCTCCAAGCTTTGCTCAGATTTTGTCAGACTGACTATGCAGCTCTTTCATGTCTTTTTTTCTGGCATTTAGTTTCCTCAGCTGTCCATAGACCCAAGCCTGTAAGGTGAGCACTCTGTCCCTGTACTTTGGCAGCCCAGTGTGGGAGTCCTGGCAGCCCAGTGTGGGAGTCCTGCACAATGTGGGGCCTGAGCTCCATGTGCTTGTCCTAAGTTTGGATGCTATAGTAGGTGCCTTGTCTGTATTAGGAAATCTCATAAGTGGTTCCAGTATATCTCCAAGACTTTGGAATACTTAGCACTGCTCTGATAAATATAGTACAGAAAGAGCCAGAGAGAGACAGAGAAGTCATTCCTGATTTATTTATAAAGACTGATTTATTTCAGTCTTTCAATTTTGCAACCCTAACTGCCTTAGGTCCATGCTCTGCTGAAGCTGCATATGAGAAAAAAACCCAAAAAAAACCTCTCTAAATGAAAAGCTTGGGCTTACTTTTCTTCAGTGTTAAAATCTGTCTGTGCTGATCCCATTCAGTCACTGTATATGGGTTAGCCCTGATTTCAGCTCTGTTACTTACAGGGAAAAGGACAAGGGGCACGGTCAGGGTTACAGCCACCAGCACTGCCAGGCGCACTGACAGCAGAAGGGTGTCGAAGGTGTACACTTTAGTGTATGTATGAAGTAGCTCATCTTCAACTTCCCCTACAAAAAGGAAACAGAAAGGAGTTAAATCACTTAAGCACTGCCTTGCACATTTAGAAGGATCTTTATACTATAGCCAGAAAAGAGATAAGATTAACTTTATCCCAGCTGCTGTCATAAGATACATTAGATACAAGTTATGGGCTAGACATGAAAGAGGAATTTTCCCACTGTGACTGATGCAAGTCCATCATTCAGAGATGATGAGGGTAATACAGCTCTAAGGTGATGCTTTGTAGTCTAGTATCTTTGAGATGACTTTGAGAAAGTCATGAAGTGGATGTAGAACCTGAAGTAAAAATAATTTCTGAGACATGAAACAACTCACTGGACTGGTAACAGCTCCTTTTTACCTCCCCCCAGATGTCCCAGCTCTCAAACAGAGCCCTCTTGCCCCAGTGATAGGGAGCAGATTGTGCTGTATCATTCATTTCTCTGCTGTATGGAGGAACTAACAAGGTAAAAAGAGGTGGCGTTTGCACAAAATGGTGTGCTAATAGAGGGACTACTCTGTTTGCCTATCAGTTAGTTTAGCTCATCCAGATTTTTTTTACACTAGAATGATTTGCACCTGTTTTTCAGCATAGATGAAACTGAACTAGTGGCGTCAGAGACAGATTGGATAGCACTTAATAGTGTCATGTAAAATTGTTTAGTGCTAGAGTATTTTTAGTACCCTTGGCCTTTGCCAAGAGTCAAGTTTTCAGCAGCTTCTTGTCTGAGTTCACAAAGTCAAGGAAACAAAACTAGTCCCCCTAGTAGGTGCCTCTGAGTCTCTCACAGGTAAGGAACTCGTGGCCTGACAGTTGGATAAATCACACAGTTCCTTCAGAAGGTTACACACTGTATTATAATTGAATGTTGCTTAAACTTGGATTCAGGCCCCCAGAAAATGCATTATTACTTGAGTCTTTGTGATAGAACCAGATTGCCTGCAGTAAAAAGTGAGGGAAAAGTCTGCTGAGAATAGGGTTTTGACCTACCATAGAAGGTGAGGTATCCGAAGAGGGCAGCCAGAAGATACATGATAAGCATGCCAGTGATGGAGATATTTGAGACATTCTGCATCCGCTTTCGGGAGCGACTGAAGTACAAAAGAAAGAGAATGACAGTCCTATAAAGCCTCTATTTGTACAAGAAGTGCTCTGACGTGTCTTAGCTCTCTGACATACCCTCGCTGGATAGTAAGTTCGTAGCAAATGTGTTGGTTACATAGAGCTCTTGATGCTGTGCAGAGTAGCACAGATTTATAAAATGTGTTCAAACTGTATTTCTAGTGCTTTCTCTCTGGCAACATAAAAATGTGCCACATTATTTTGTATATCATTACTTATTAAATGTCAATCTCAAGTGGTATATATTAGATTAAAAAAATGAAGGGACTAGAATTACAAGTCTGTTAATAATGATAGACAAGAGTTTTCAGCCATCTCTTTATGAACATACCCTTATATCTACATAGGGCTGTTCTGCAGGCTCAAGAACCCCTTGCAGATCACATTCTTTCTTCATAAATCCTTTGGTTAAAGAAAATCTTCATCTTATAGGACCTGCAAGCATTTTCCCAAGTCATATGAGAATTTTTATTGCTTCTGAGGTTAAACCTACTGAAATTGAAGGTGATGGTTCTTAGCCTCCTTGAGTTTTGCAACACACCCTCCTGTAAAGCAACTTTTGCTGTTCAACAAATGCCTTCTATTAGCCCTTCCCAGCTATCAACTCTGTGCTGTTTTAAGCAAGTGTATTTGATTTTTGATGTTTGTGAAGCAAAACAGGCTGAGTGAGGAGACTAAGGCACCAAAACCAATTGCATCCCAAGAAACTTTAAGAGTAAGCAGCAACTGACACAGAACGCATTCAGGTAATATTAGAAACCACAGTTAGCTGTTTTTAGTGCAACCAAGATCCCCAGTGTACTTCAGATCATTTGAAGGGCTGTCCAGATTCCTCCTTTACTAAGTAATATTGATCAGAGAACAGTGGTTCTCTGTCACCGATATCTGACTAGAGGATCAAAGCACAGCTAAAATCTGCTTGCTATGGAAAACAATAAATCATTATCATGAGGTGTTTACACACCAGCAATCAAGGGACAACATGTAGAAAGTGATCTTTATCAATGGTTAACTGGAAGTATTGGACAAAATTTAAGAACCTTACTCTTTGAGTTCACTGTATATTGGTAGCACCTCAGGGTGGCATACGAATGCAAATGCCAGGATGGGTATTGCATAGGCAGTCTGTAAAATAAAGCTCCCATTAGTAATGGTCAGGGCTGCACCTCTGACTTTTGGCAGGCAGCAGTTTAGCTGTGGTAGGAAGACAAATTCTACATAATCTCCCTTACCCGTGAGTTGAACACAAAGTATTTTGGCTGGCACTTGTCACTATTGTCACTGTGCGCTTCGTACTCTACACCGCTTTTTGGGGAGGTATCTTTTGGCTCCTCAAGGCTTGGGAAGTGCCCAGCTGTGTTATCCATCATGAAATTCACACCAGAGCTGAGTGACTCATTTGATAACATGACCAGGTGCATTGGCACTGTGCCATTGGTGGCGGTCCAGTTTTCCACCCCGTGGTCCATGATGGGAAGAGGACAGGGTATTTGGGATTTCTTGAAGATCACCTACAAAAAAGTAGACAATGTTATCAGAAGAGTGCCACTATAGGAGGTTACACACCTGTGGTATTCCAACAGCAGCATAAAAAGACACTGAGAAAGAGAGGAAGCTACCAATTCTGCTTCTTCTGCAAATATTTGCTGTTACTCTGCCTCTGCTGTTTTCCTGCTTTATTTTTTATTCTCAAGTGTGTTTTAAACTTATGTTTTTTTTGTTTTATTCTGACTTCATTCAGCAGTAGGATGTTGATTTGATTCACTTGCAGGGGCTATTCTAACATCCACATTAAATTGTTATAGTATGAAGTATAAAAGTGTTTAAGGTTTACAGAGTCTGTATTTGGCTGGAGACAATACCCAAACAGTCACCTACCACACTGACAAAGAAAACCATACACGTCAGCGAAAACCCACTCGTATAACCAAGATAACCTGTGCAGCAAGAAAAACAGAACAAAACAGAACAAAATGGTTCAGTTACATATAAATTCACAATCCTAACAGGAGTAGGAAATGAGCTTAAGCAGGGCATTAAGCTTACCTAAGCTTTTGAGGAGGGAGAGGGGGAGAATAATCACGACTGTCACAAGTATGACGAGGTAGTTCCCATTAAGGTACCATTCTCTAAAGAGGAAGAATAAAAATAAAAACTATCATCATTGACATCAAAGTGAAAATTTATCATCTTAGGTTCAGGCTGGGAAAAGGCACCTACCCAGAATTCTCCTCAAGTTTCATAAATGCTCTGATGACTTCAGGAAGTTCATATTTAATAATAAAGAGGTAGCTTGACATTGCTGGAAAAAAACCCAAAGAAAACAAACACTTTCAGAGACAAATGGAGTTCCAAAAAAGAGAAAAGTTTTTGCTAAAGTAGATAAATGAGGTTTTTTTAAAATAACAGTGTAACTAACTAACTAATTAACTAACTAACTAACTAAGTAACTAAATCCTTTATATTGCTATAAGCATGACATCTAGAATTCTGCATTAGAATACAATACAGTTACCACTGAATTTATAGCATACTTAAATTACTCTTTAATTTTCCTTTTGCTTTTTTTGTTATATATGCGTTTTTTTTCAATGGATGCTATCCATATCCATTCTGCAGTAACTTTTCTCATTACTACCTCAGGATCTCCTTAGCTACCTTATCCTTCCTACTTTCAATTTCCTTCTTCCAGTATCTTTTTGATATATAAAGAAATCAACTAGCTGTCAAGATCCCTGATGTAAGAGTCGACTTCTCATTTAAAATGTGCTCCCAGAAGTAATGCTTTTTTCATTTGTTTTACCTTTGTTACAGAGAGGTCTCTGGAGACCTATGGATCAATCCAAACAAGAGCTAGAGGAACAGCTATTCCTCTTTAATAGGGAAGCATACTTCATTTCTGAATTCAACAAATTTTATATCCAGGCTTGAGGAAGGAAAGGAATGCCACAGAATAACACCTTTTATGAACAAAATCAAAAAGTCTTTTGCAGTACAGAGATGTGAACTACCTCTGTTTGTGTAGCAAAGTTGCTATAACAGGACAGAATTGATTTATTGATGGATATTGGCATATTTAATTTAAATTTCTGTTGCCTCTTAGGTACCAAATACCTTAAGGAATCTGTAAAAAAAATTACAAACTCCCTTTTGCTTTCTGACCTGGCATTCTTCAGCTTCCTAAAAGGCTTCTTCCAGGATAGTAAAGGAAAAAAAGCTTTGCTGAATGAATGTACAGTCTATCTCTACTGTTTATATTGGTAAGTCTCCTGTTCTGTGAGGATGGAGTTTACTTGACAGATATTTCACAGGAAGTTTCTTTGTGGATGAGTACATTCAAAAATTACTTTAAGCACACATTATAGGAATAACACAACCCAACTGTTATTTGAAGGAGAGAATTCAGCTGAAAAATGAACTATTGAAGAGCCTTTTATGGAGAAGTCAGAACCCTGTGCTGCTCCTTTTAGGTCAAGCTAATCTTTTCTAAGTTGAAGCAGATGCTTTAATTAGATGCTAGGAACAGTCTGAGCCATACTCAATTAAGAGAATGGCCAGTTGCTTGAGGACAGTCAGTCAGTCCACTTTAGCCATCATTGAAGCCTCTTCACTGGCCATGGAGAGATCCCAGGCAGCTGTCTTTCATCATACACAGAAGTGTCAGGTAGCTGAAAAAAGTGAGATGAATTCCTCATATCCTTCATCTTCACAATACAATGTATACTGTGTCTGGCTCATCTTTGATGCCATTTAACCAGACAGAGGAGAGAAAGAAATCACTTGTGTTCTGTAGGAAGAGCATTGGAATCCGGAAAACTCTCATCTCTTACCTCCAATATTCTGCATTGTGACTGAAATGAAAACACCACACTTCCCAGGCCAGCCAAATGCTTTTGCTCCCAGTTTTTCATATATTAACGATCCTGAAAAAAAACCCAAACAAAACCAAAACCAAAAAAGAAACGTGGGCCACCACATTGGACATATTTGATAAATTGTATCAATTGTATTCCAAGGTAAAATACATGCATGCAATACAGACTCTCTTTCAATCACAGCCTCCTACCTCCTTCTTTAGATATCTTCAGTAAAAGATGGACCGAGTAGAGTGACAATATTGCTACGCTGAGCAGCAAAACTCTGCAAGGCAAAACAGAAATCCGAATCCTAAGCAGGACATTAGAGACACTCGGTGGATTTGAACATATGCTTGTTTGTTGTCATGAAGTTCAAGTAGTAAATAGTTTTTAGCAAGTTTATTCTTTTGTCTCCCACTGCAAAATGCAGAGCTAAGTGCCAGCTGTAGCTTACTTGTGAGTACAGTTGCACTTTATACACTCTAAAAATCCCTGAAGGCTTTTTAAAGTCCAGTAAGTACCAGTTCTGTGCTAATCCACAAGGACAGAATCTTATATCTTAACAAGACAAGATCCCACTAAAGTAAGCAGATTTCTATGCAAGAATCTTGTCTTTGGACTCTCACCTGCCCACTGACCTCTCATTTTCAAATCTGTCCTTAATCAGAACTGTCAAAAAAACTCCACAAAAATGAAGCCCCAAAACCAAATTGTGACTGGGACAACTTCCATGCTACCTCTTGTCCGGTTACTACTTTTTACTTCTGCCATATCACTGTGCAGTGGAGGTTAGTTGCCTGCTGTGTAAGTACATTAGAAATCTTGCATAGTGTTAAAGCACAGCACTGAAAAACCTGCTCTTGGAGCACTGGTAGCTCATATGTATGACATATTCAGGGCATAGCACTATGGACAGCATATCTTATTACCATAACTATCTTGTCATCAGCCTGCCCAGGTGCTGGTGAGGAAGAGAATGCAATGATAGCATGACAGAGATAGGAAATATGGATGCATTTTATCCCATGGCTGAGCAGAAGGTTGTGCCTGCACCATCTACTCCACTGAGCACGTGGTTTGGTAGATATAGGAGACACTGACAGCCAAGTTTGTAAATGAATTACAGTCTAGGAGCAGAGGGGCTGGGAGATTACCACCAGACCATCAATTTCCTCTGAAGTTTCCCTCTTCAAGAGAGACAGACAGTGTTACCACCTTCATATGGGCAGGGTTGTCTCCTGCTGTGGGCTCATGCAATACGGTAAGGGGGGATCATGTCTGAGGTGACAGTGATCCTGCTGAGGTGGCACCCTCCTTGATCAGGGGCGCCCATACAGCTGCTGGTCAGAGACATGAGCTCCGTGTCCTGACACATGAGGTGGGATAAACCAAAGTCCTGCTGGTTGCACTTGCTAAACCATGCTGGGCATCAGGAGTGTTCCTGTGGTGCAGGTTCTGTGCCACTGTAAACCTCCCTTGTGGGAAGGATGCAATGGGAACTTTAGGGGAACTTCTGAGTTTTAAGAACCTTCTGTTTGTCTTTACCCTGTAGAACACCTTCCAGCATGAAAGCACTTGGGCAACATGAGAACAGAAAATTACAAAAAATTAGGTGATGCTGCCAGCATAATCTAAATTAGAATTCATGTCCAATAGTTTCCATTTAGTAGACGGGATATTTCTGTCCCACTAACACTAACATCATGATATGTGAAAACAGAGGAACTTCAAGCAAGTAGATAACTGCTGTGGGGGTAACAATATCTACACGCAAGTCTATACTTTTAAATAAAACTCTCTTCCAGAAGAGAGAATGTTCTCATGCAGGAAGTATGGAAATAGCATAGTAAAGAAAGTGAGCTACCTTTGTTTTTTTTGCTTTAGCATTACTCCCTACTTTAGCACTGCCAACAGAGCTGATGTTATTAGACTTGTATGTGAATTTTTAGCCACCAGTCTGTATGAGCAGAGTTTCAAAATAAAGATATTATAAAGGTAATATTTTTCCCTGTTAGTGAGGCTTAACATATCACAGTTTTCTTTCCAGTGATTATTTATGAACATAGCAGTTAGTACAAGTGCTCAGAGAAAGTTGCAGAAGAAAAAAATCCTGCATTTTTCTGATGCTGAAACAATGTCAATTTAAGAACTGGCTTCCATTTTTTGCTCTGCAAATACTATGTCTAAACCAGTTGAGTGCAGGTGTTACGAAGCGCTTATACAGAACAGCATTTGAATCTACAATTAACTTTCAGTTAAAAATTACATTGGCAAAACAGGAGATGTTTCTTAGCAACTGGAAGCCACATGTAACATTTCAAATGCTGTTGCTGTCATATTTACACAGTCCTCACACGCAAGAAACTCTATAAAAACATGCTAGATTTCAGTAATGTCAAAAGACGGCTTATTGTCACACAGTAATATCATGGTTTATTCCAGTCTCATGGGAGGCTAAAATGAAGGCTCCAGTTAAAATTAAAATCAGTTAATAAAAACACACCCAAAATTTGTTTTTGATACAGTTTGTCTCATTAAGAGGAGCTGGATGTTAGCCATCGCTTGAAAAACTTCTCATGGCTCTATGTTACTGTCTCTTGAAACCCATTCTGTGTGGGTACTTTTTGTCAGTCACAGACCAATGCTGTCCTTTGTGCACATTGGGTACAGACAGACTTGAAGCAACAACTTTAATCTGTGAATGCCTTTGCACTCAAAGCATGTTGCCATTTCAGATTATATTGAATACTCTTCTTCCATTTCTACATAGCAGTTAGATAATTGGGGTGATGCAAACGTATTTATGTGTGATTTAATTCTCTTGTTGGATTTCCATAATCAACTGGCAAGATCAGCCTTGTTATTTTAGGACCAGCATGCTGTTCTTCTGTTTTTTGATTGCACAGTATCAATTCACAGTTGTGTTCCTAACACAAAGGATGTCTAAAATATTAAAAAATAAAAGGATTTTCAGCAGTGGATGGTTCCTTGTGGTGAAGCTGGAGTGCTTTCATTACAGAGGATCTTAATAGAATCTTCAGCTAACAAATCAAGCTTAACATACCTCCCTAACCATAAAAATTTCAGCTCCAGCCCCTTGCTTATATTCTGTTTGCTTCTTTTTTTATGTACTTACATGAAAAGGATAATTCCTGTGTTGGCCATGGCATAGGAGAGCCCTAAGATGCCGCTGCCCATAATGGCATTGCTGAGGTTGAACGAGGACATTCCAAAGGAAGTTCTACCGCTGTGCTGTTGGGCACAAGAACAGAAAATGGCAATTCATTTGTGTTTCACTGAGCATGGCTGGCTAATTATCCTCATTGCTTTATTCCCCGTACTGCTCCCTTGATCCCTAGAGGTGCAGCTTTTTCAAGGTTCCCAAGCCCAGAGGCGCTGGCCACCAGAGTATCTTTACCCCCAAAGAGAGCTGTGCTGATAGTGTTTGCCTCTTCCCACTCCTTCATTGCCTCAGTGAGGAGGAGGTTTACATTCCTGAGAGGCGACTGAGGTGACACAGTTACACTGGCTGCGCTGGCCAGCCTCTATGGAAATTCATGCTGTTATCAAATAGACTTCTCAGTTATTGATTTTTAAATTTTAAAAAAAATTAGATTTTCAAACAAAAATGAATACAACAGATTATTGAATTTGTCTCCAAGTAGATCGTGCTTTTTTCTTTGGGGAACGAAAAATGTGTCTGGGGGAGGAAAGAAAGGAGCACTGTGTGCCCAGGACAGGAAGCAGAACGGAAGAGGACAAAACCTAGGAGAGAGGGGATGGTGTGTGAGTTACAACTGACACCAAGTGGAAAAGAAAATGGAACATGGCTCTTAATTTTAGTTTACAATCACAAATAATATTTTTGATTTTATGTGATCTTTCCTTGATAAAATCTGCGACACAACTGATAAAATAATGCCTTTCATTTCATCAAATTCACTAAAAATTGAGTAACATTAAATCCTCAGCAGAAAGAGATCCACGTGCATGCCCCAGGAACTGGTGCCGTGCTTTTGTTTGCATGTGGAGTTGTCTAGAGAGTTGGAGGTGTGCTGACCATGCAATGCTCAGCATCATAAAGCCAAAACAATAATGCCCTTTCTTTAAAGAAATGCAGCTGAATGTAGATTCATTTCTGATGCTGGAACATCATCACTGATGCTGGAAACTACAAATTCAAGCTTGTATGCACTAAGGCACAGATCTACCTGGCTGTAGGAACAGCAAAGTCCTGAGCCCAGTGTTCTGTCAGGAAAATGGGAGCAATCCCACTCTATCTGCCCATCTCAGCTGAGATTACATGGAAGTGTTACTGAAGTTAAAGTGTGACCTGAGAAATTTTTCCGATCACTTTTGAAGGAAAGACTCAGTTTTACTTGTAAGACAGCAGAAGGGGCTTGCTGCACTAACTGTTAGAAAATGTGTCTATTCTTTGAAAGCCAAGATTATGCTGGCCAAGCTCCAGAGTAATTTTGCTTACTGACACTTTTAGAAAAAATTCAGGTCAATCAGATCTACTTTGTAATCATTCTTCATTCATTCATTCATTCATTCATTCATTCATTCATTCATTCATTCCAAATAAAACTTACATATTCTTCATTATAGTCTTCCAATTTCTTTTTATCCAGATAGCCATTTGTAAGGAACTTCTGACTTTCTGCATCATCACTAGCAAAGGGACTGAACACAAAGAAAAATAAGAAAATATTAGATAAAGCTCGTGACACATTTTATTTGATTAGTGCCTTTTGTCATCAGTGGGAACTTTCCTTTGACATTGCTATGAATATTTAAAAATCCTTCAGAAAAAACCTCTGTTCTCCTGTAAAGTTCTCATCTCAGGGTCTTGCTGTGTTGGAGATACGTGCTGCAAGGTGCAGCAAGCTGAGAGCTAGAGACTGATGGCTGGTTTTGAGACATCTTTTTACAGCCACACAGGTGCTAGTGTTACAGTGGGGTCTGCTGGCTGTCCCTGCTGCCCTCCATACCTTGCCCCGGGGAGCATTCCCCCTCGTTGTGCTCAGGCTGAACTGCTCTGAGAGTGCACTAATTTACACATGCACTATCCCACTGGAGTAGCTGGAAATTGCCAAGGGGTGCTCTGTGCTGGGAGCCTGCAGGTGCCTGTCCAGGTGGTGGCAGGCAAGGGGGGACCTGGGCTGCCTTGCTGTTCCAGGCACACTGTCCTCCAGAGCACAGAGCAGGGACGGACAGGCTCTGGGAAAACTTCCCAGATGCCGTTAGTGAAGATAGTTTATTGATTCCTGCTTTCTAGCCTTAGAGAAGAGCTAAATGCTTACCTGCTGATTGCAGCCTTTTCCGAATCAGCCGGCCCTGTGTAGTTGTCTTCGAGGCTTTCCCCACTGTTGCTCTGGTCATCAGGTTCGATGTTGACTTTTTGCAGCTCCATGCGGTCCATTAGGACGGTCAGCGCTTTCCAGCACACACACTCGCTTCTTCAGGGTAAACAGCACTGTGCCGTCTGCTTGCAGGTCCTCTCTATCATGCAGGGACTGCCAGAACACTCTGTTCTGCAAACAAAACACAACAGAACTCATTAGAGATTTCTTCAAATTAGATAAACCAGTGTGAATTGTTTGGCTTGTGTTTGATCTTTGTAGTAGCATTAAGAGGGGAAACTGTTGTGGATTGGGAAAATTCTGGGCAAGCATAAAAGTCTCTTTATATGCCAGCACTTGGTTCTCCTGTCTCCCTTCAAATGGTAAAGGGTGCAGAGGCCAACAGATGCACAGTGGATATCCAGCATCTGGAAAAAATACAAAGCCAGCAGAAAATAATTTCCTGAACTGCTGCTTTTGAGTTCTAAAGGAAAGTGATGCAGAAATGCTTTCAGATAAAAACAGGAGTATAGCTGGCTTTCCCATTTATTGCAAGATTAATGTTATCACAGGTTTAAATGTTTTGTAGATTTGTCCCTTTCACTGGGATCTGACAGAGATGAGTATCTCTGTATGATAATATTTTGATAACTAGGAGGTGCAATTCTAGAGGGCCAGTTGCTGTTTTTAAGTGTTTAATTGTTACTTGACCCATCATTGGAAGCTCTGTCTCACACATGATTATTACATAAATGTTAGACTGATTATCTTTACCTCATGAGAATATTTCTTGACTTTTAAAAATCATATGAATAAATGCTCAACTCTTTATTTCATGTGTGGGCCAAATGAAACTGTATGACCCAAATTTACAAAGAGAGCTTCACCTCTGGGATTTCAGCAGCTGTGTGCCACAGACTCATATGTAAATACACATGTGAATTCATTTATTATCAGTTTCAAGAGAAAAAACACTATGCAAAAAGTGTTGCAGTTCTACAATCCTTCTCTTTTCCCAAAGATATTCCTTGATGTATTCTATATTTCCATTCCACAGCCAAGGGGACACCAGTGAAGGGAGGGAGCAGAGAGCACATGCTTGGGGCCAGAGTTACAGTTTCCTGGACATTTACCTACTGTCTTGAAATCAGGCACACTGGACAGATTCAAGACCATTTTCATAAATATGACATGCCAAATGCAGCTCGGTGCTCCATAATAAAAAATATCAGAAAACACTCCAACAAATAATTTCTAAGTCTTGCAACAGTAAATCTGTAATTATTTAATAGCCTTTCTCCTGTGTTTGCTTTTGTGGGTGTACAGGTCCAGCACAATGACCAGACATTCGTTATCCTCTGGAACTGATCACATGCTACCCATAAGAACATCTACAAGCATATCTGTAGTGGCAAGATGTTGGAGTGCATGTGTTTAAAATGCAAATATAAACTTTAAATACCAGCCCTGGAGGTTAAAATTGACTCCAGGCCAGAAATTAATGTGAAATCCCTTGCTTCTTACTAAAAGCATTCACCCAGACCAGATAACTGAAAAGGAGAAGCAATATCACAGTGCATGAAGAAGTTTCCAACCAGAGAGAGTGGCTGGCTTTAATTTTTTCTACTGCCTCACAGAGTGTGTGTGTGTGTGTGTGAAGGGATGAGTGACTCAGGGCAGAGCTGCTGGCACTCACATTCCAGCGCCTGGGGGACCCTGTCCACTCAGGATATGAATAACTCCATGAGATAAAAACCCAATAACACTCCCTCCTCACCCCTCCACCCCCAACAGAGCCCTAACAACTGTGGTTTCATTCACAGAACCATCTTCAAACGCAGACACTGCCCTGTCTGAGAAAGAGATTTTTTCCAATTCTTGATGCTTATTTTTAATCTGTGGTGTCAAAGTCAGGCAAACAATTCTATCTGTGCTTATCCCTGTTCTGGTAAAGGGTAAAACCTCCCCTGTGTGCACTGCCTAACTGTTTTTGGAGAAATATATTTTCCAGAAGTGGCAGTCCAAAAAATACAGATCTTCAAAGAGATGGGAAATGGAGGAAAAATAAACAAAAATGTTGCCAGGAGTTAAGCCGCACAAAGATTAAGCTGAGGATGAAAGCTTGTGCAGCACAGCAAACAATTTGGAAAAATTGACTGAAAATACATGTTACAGCATAAGAATTATCTGGACATTGCCCTGTCAAACATTTACAGAAGTCATCTGATTTATGGACGTCACCCCAAGAGGTTGTGGAATTACTGCATAAAACAGCGATTTTCTGTTTTATTTTATTGTTTCCAATCTGTGAATTCCTAAAAGTCTTCTGGTGACAGTACAAAGACTTAGGTGGCATAATTAAGTCTGTTGAGAAGCTGCAGTTGTAACTTTTTCTTGCAGTTGTAACTTTTTAGGGAGAGGTTGGTAGAACTCCAGAGGTTTGCAAACCATAAGCAGAAAGCCATTGGCATAAACATGGGGAGAATAAGACCCAAAAACGAGACTTGCTATTAGATTTGAATCCTGCAAACACTGATAAACTGTGATTATGACCAATGGTGCCTTTGAACTTTGGTAGAACTTGGCAGAGCTAGGAGTCATTACTCAGCCTGCAAGACATTTCAGTACAGGGGAATGCACGAGCATTGCGCGCTCAGTTGCACCCTTCAGGGGTTTGTGCTGCTCCTGGGGGCACAGCCAGGAACCAGGGCAGGGATGGCATGAAAGCACAGCTACCAAGGTTGGGCAGGCCTGGGTCCTGCCAGAAGCTTTGCCTATAATATTGGAGGAGAAACACCAAAGTTCATCTGCTTCAACTTCCCTGGGATTTAATGCTTTCTGCTTCAGAGTTATGATTTTGATGCCTAAACATAGAAGAGAAACCTCTTAGATTTCCAACCTTCCTCAAACTTGCCTTCAATAAAGTGATGGTTTTGCTGCCTCTTGTAGCATTTGGATGAACAGAAAAGATTTTTCCTGAAGTATGGTATTAAAATAGAAATATCCATTGCAAAAAAAAATTCACCTATTATTAGAGGACACTTATTTATCTCTATAAAGCTATTTTTCCTCTTCAAGTATAGGCAAAAAAAAAAATTCACCTATTATTAGAGGACAGTTATTTATCTCTATAAAGCTATTTTTCCTCTTCAAGTATAGGCTACTGCTCTGCATAATTTATTAAGTAATGGTTTTCAGCAATGATTCGGAAAATGATGAAATTTTTGGCATCTGATTTCACAATGTTATTGATTTCTGTCCAGTCTGCAGTTAGAACATTAGGCAAATGGACAACCACTGGGCAAATAATGCCGGGTCATAGATATGACTAACACTTTCATGGGTTTTGCAATATCAATATTTGTAATCTCTGCCACGGTATCCAATTTAGCAGATTTTGCCAGATTCTTTGTCTTCATGACAGTGGCTTCATAAAATTATTATCTATGTGGCTGTTTCAAAATGAAATAAATGTTTCAGCTGTGAAATAAACAAATAAAATGCAAAGTTCGCTTTCCCATATTAATTTGTTTAAAGAAATATTAGCCAAGTAACTCAAGAGACTGGAAAAAAAATTATCAGAAGATAGCCAAGGGCTGCAAAGGAAAGCAATCATTCATTTCTTAATTGACTGGGCAATTTTGAATACTTTTGCTGCTTCCATGGTTGCTTAGGTTTTGATTTTCTGTACAAAAGAGAAGACTACATTTCATTCCTGAAGAAATATCAGAGATATTTGCCAGCACAAATTACCATGTCAGTAAATCTTAAGGAGCACATCCTTCATATTGCACTTACATTTAGAGATTAATTAAATTTATAATTCCCAGTTTCTGAAGATGTGGCTAGTGTCTGAAATACATTGATAAAATTTTATAAAGAAAAGAAGTCTACCTCTGAGCTGAGCGGGTTCCTTTCCTCACTTGTTAGGCAGGTTATATCTTTTAGGAATTCCACCTGTAAGAAAAAGTTTACTCATATGCAACCTAGAGCAGTTGAACAGTGATTTAAAGACAAATGGGAGTGTATGGGATGAACCAATCAACAGCTGCTACACCCAACAACTCCCTTTGACAAACTTGCGTCAGCTCTTTTAAAAAAAAAGGGGAAAAAAGTAGAAAGGTAAATCAGTTTATTGGAGCACACTGAGGGCAAACATCTCAGTTACCAGAGCTATTTGCTCTCTGAGCTTAGCCCTATTTCAAAACGCTTATCCTCAGAATGTTTCACCCAGGCTTGATCACACTTTCATTTGACAGTCTGGATTTTTGAATAATGCACATGCATTAAACTTGCAGTAGCACAATAACAATGCCCCTGGAAAATAAGTTCTGGGAGAAATACCTATTTGCTCCCACATTGCTCTTATCTCTGTGACAACAGAGCTACATCTTGCAGTGTCTCTCTGGACATGGTCCGAACTATGTGCTTTCAAAGGGGCTGTTTGACCTGTGCCTTAGTTTCCCAGTTGAAATATTTAATGTAATTTCAGCTGAGGAGATATATGTCCAGTGACAAATGTTATTCAGTGAATGGCAATATAGGCCTTTGCAGAAGTATTTGATTGTCTATGATGTGCCTGTTATACTGCAGAATTTACAGTAGAATTTTATCCAATTACATAACGACCACAATTAAAACCCACAGCTAACTCTCGGCCCTCCCACCCATGTAGGCTTTATGATTAAAGCCCTCAGACTGGCCTGACTGTGAAGGCAGGAGGGCAAGTGAGGGGATGTAATTTCTAATTCTTAGAGTTTCCTGTGGAGCACTCAGACTGCTTTAGCTCAGGCTGGGTGACAACCTGTGGGAACTCAACCCTGCTCCACTGTGACCAGGCCTTCTGCTTGCTTGCTGCCAGGGCCAGCTGTGATGTGCTGGTTTCAGAGTTCCTCCCCCACCTAAAAAAAAAAAAAAATCTGAGTTCCAATATAGGCTCAGACAAATAGTTTAACAAAATAAGCTCTGTCTCCCTCAGTTCTACATTCCCATGAGAAGACAACTGATTGTAAGGCCAGTCATGCCATACAATGCCAAAAGTAGTGCAATCCAAAGATTAAGAGGTGCAAGGTTTGGAGCCAGAGGCCCTATCTTGATTTAAACCTAGTACATAGCTGGAAAAATGAACAAATTTTTGGTCCTAGACTGGTTGAATGGACTTTGAGTCTGAAAGCTCCCTGTGTTTTCCATTTCATCAGTTGATCTAATGAGAGAAACAGGCTTTCCCTCTAAGGCATATGATCAGGAATAGGTGTCCTCAATGCATTAAGGCTGTTCTCAGCAGAAGTTTGGCACCAAGTGGTCCTATGCCATTGCTAGGGTAAGGGAGCAGAGCTGCTGGGGGAGCTGGGGGAGGCAGCTGAGCTCTGCTTGAGCCTGTTTGCTTTTGCACACTTGACAGGGCTGTGGGTATGGGCAGCCTCCTTGTTGCACTGTTGCTCATGCGGCTGTTTCATGTAACAATAGGGGAGAGAAAAACATTTCTTTAAACAAAGGAAAATAAGACTGCAAACCATAAAGAAAACAGTGGGGAGATTTGGGCACAGATGTACTAACAAATCAGCAACAGCTGTGAAAATTACTTATGATGCATTTTTTGAACCTGATTAAATAAATAATAATCAAGATTAGATGTAATTTCCTTTCAAATACCACAAATATCCATGTCTATCTCTGATTCCCACTGAGTCTAAGCAGTGTGGCACAATTCTACCTGCAGCCACATCATGGTAGCTGTGTGGATCTTTCCTCGGTGCATGGGGAATGGAGTCATCAGGGTTGATGGTGCTCAGCAGTGCCCCTGTCCCTGATGCCTCAAAGATGCCAGGCAAGGTGTGCAGGCAGGTGGAGCTGGAAGAAGCCATTCACATGCCTGTAGGTAATTTTTTCTGCAGAGAAGAGCCAGCTAACACAGTTTTTTAAACACAGTTTTTTTGACTGCCAGGTCTATCTGCCTATCCCTAACTAGAAAAGCACTGCTTAATTTTCATCAGAAAAGACTTCATTCAGCAGAGCACAAATGTCAGTGTCCAATCTTGACAATGAAGGGAGGCACATGTTAACTCAAAACCCTTTCTGTTTTGTCTTCAGCTTGGCTGTGTTTGATTTCACTATTTTTAAAGAAAACTTTGTATTTTCTAGTATTGCTTGAGGTCATGTAAGAGTTCAAAGAAAAAAAAATACATTTTCTTTTTTGTTTTCTGACAAAGAACATGATTAAATTCTTGATTAGAATGTTGGAAACAGTGAACAAAAGAAAGCACAACATTGTGATATCCACCCTTGCCTCTTGTAGCTGGATCTAGCTTTCTGTGTGACATATCTCTGCCACAGTCATGCAGTCAGAGTACCTCCACTTACATTCAAAAAAAGGGCCAAGTGTACTCTTGGCTTTTCCACCAAAAGCTACTAAATAAAGCTCTTCTTTGTGAATGTGTGGGATCACACTACAAGCTCTGTTAGTCACCGAAGTACCTATGGAGCACCCTGAAGCTCACCAGGGAGTGTTTGCCCAACCCAGACCTCTGTTTACCCTTTCTCTGAGGAAACCAGATTAACTGCAGTTAAAATTATGATAGTTGGTAGATGTTATATTTTACTCTTCTGGTGCCTTTTGGCTACCTTACGTCTCATAGAAAAAAGTCCTGTTGCAGTAATACCTGTCATTGGCTGACAGGAGAAATTTCCAGGCACAGCAGATCTGAGGCCACATTTCCTGAACAGAGAAAGCAGGAACAATATTCTGTAGCTGTAAGTGTGTATTTCCAGAGTCTTCTAGAGTTAGAAGGGTGTTTCCAGAGCAGAGGGTTTTGGCAGAACCTAGAGCTGGCGGTGGTGGCAGTGCCATTAAAAAAGGCTCAGGGGTCCTTTGCCCCCCCAGGCACAACCTCCCACATTTGCCACACAACCATGTTCCATTTTCTGGTTCCATTTTCTGAACACTATAATGCTCTTTAGGGAGCAAAACCTCTCAACCATTGCTCAGAGCCCTTGTTTGAGACAAAGAGTAATCACAGTTGGCCTGCTTGTGTAAACTGGAGGTGCTGGCCTAGAGCTTGGTACTTGAGATGGATCTTCCAAACATGGGGATCACTGCTGGGGGAAGTCCAGCATGTTCTTCTGCCCCAGCTTTTGTCCCCCATGCAGCTGGTGGTCAGCCTCCAGGATCTGGACATGGGCAACACTGGTCAGGGCTGTGCTGCTGCCCTTGTGGCTGTTTACATGGCTGTGTCTGGGGCCTAGGCTGACAAAATGGCTTTACAGCATGAAGTAAGATTGTATTGAACATGATGTAGATGTTATTACCAAAATACTAAGGACATTTTTTCCCCCCTGTATTTTGGCCTTGTTTTTATGGAGCTTGAGGTCATGTTAAATGTTTCATTAACATTTTCCTATTTTGTAGTAATTGCTGCTCTCTGACTCATGCTACTTTCCTCTTCACACAAGAGCCTTTATCTGTCTGTGTGTGCTTCTTGCTCAAATACTATCTTCTGAAGCTGAAGATTTTGTTGTAGCTCTGTGTTTAGTTTTCACTCTGTTTTCATTGTCATTGGCACTGAGACAGTGTGCAGGGCAAACTGAAGTGTATTTTGCAATATTGTTGTGGCTGTCTGCTCTACACTAATACACTACAAGTAAAAGTAATCCCGGTGATGATAAAACAGCTGTATTCAAATCACCTGACCCTACATATCCATGTATACACAGGTACAAACCTCACCTTAAAAGGGTTAGGAAGCTTTTTGCAGGATTCAGTATTTGACTCCTGCTATGTTTTACCCTTAGAAGCACCCATTAAGGATTAGTGTTTTTTTCTCAGTTTTTTAAAGTTTAAGCCTAAGAGGGGCAGTGATACCTTCTGCATCTCAAGCACCTGACTTCTCTCTTAGATCCTGCAGATTCAAGGTGCTGCATGATTTCACCTGGACAGGAGCATTTGAATTTTTCAAAATAGAAAGGTTTGGCAAAGGGATGTTTGTTTAAGCTGGGAGAAGATAAAGGGAGGCACAAGAGCAAGCTACAGCTACTTGAAGGGTAATTACAAAGATTACAGAGGCAAATGCTTCTCAGTTGGGTCAGGAAGCCCAGATGTGGGGCAGAAGCCACCAGAGTGTGGGAAGTTCAGATTGGACACAAGGAGAATGGTAGCGAAAATTTGGAACAGGTTGCTGGGGGTGCAGAGGCTGCAGAGCCACTGTCCTTGAATGTTTTTGAGGCTTTTCAAGGCAAAGTCATGTGTGAGATGACCTGGGGTTTGTGTCAGTCGCTCCTTGTGAAGGAAGCTGGACCAGCTGCTCTCTACAAGCCTCTTACAACCAGTGTATGGGTGAGTCTGTGAAACTGCTTAGTGCCACAGACACAAAGGTATTAAAGATGCTCTCAAAAATACTGATGGCAGGAATGCAATTAGGTGAGACATGGCCAGACATTAGGCAAACAACACTCCATGTGCCAGAAACAAGTTATAAAAAGGGCTTACTGAGGAATTCAATAGTCCATTGACTTGAAGAGATTTGCTGAAGAAAGTGGGCAGGTTTTGGCTTAAGTAGTTTTTTGTCTTCACACATACACTGCAAATACATAACTACCCACAAAAGAGCTCAAAGTGCTCTTTTAAAATATTAATATTCACATATTTTGCAAAACAAATCTGAGGATAGGTGGCAAATGTATTAAGTTATGTGTAGCAAAATAGCTGGCATGTTCAGAAAAAGGTTGCAACATCCCATGTTTCCTTTCCAAAACGAGAATTTCTTCTTATCCCCAAGTTTATTTTAGTCTCTCTGAAATAATGATCTTTGCAGGGCAAGCATGAAAAGCTGCATTTGCCATTGGCTTCAGTGAACTAAGAGGAGAAGAAGAATATTAAATAAAGCTCATGTGATTAATTTTATGAAATAAAATTCCTAATAACAAACACAAGTTTCAGTCATGACTATAATTTACTATATATTAACTGCTGTTCTACTGTACTTCTTGACTTAGTGTGCTTATAATATTAAGTATGACTACAGACAGCAAAGGATATTTCCTTTGTGACATTACTACCTCTTCCTGTTGCAATGATTCCTGCCACTGCAAAGTGCATTTATTGCTGCCCAATATTTTTAAGTAAAAAGGAATACTGGAGGTTCATTACACCTTAGAAAAGACAATTCACTGCAATGACTAAGAATGGTAGCAGTTTACCTCACTGTCTGCATAATCCCAATAAAGGGAGAGAGGAATATCTCTGAAAATTACTTAAACCCCCTAGAAGGGGCTTATGGTCACTAGCTAGCTTCTTTAATGCACTTCAAACAGCTGCTTAAAGGTTTGCACTATGAGTCTAGGCTTTGGAAAGAGTATAAGGTATTACTCATACTATTTTGAAGAAGAACTTGCCACAAAATTTTCTTTTTGTCTTCTTTCTATTTTAATGATGTCAGAAATAGAGGAAAAAACATCCTCTAGATTTTTACCCCATGCCTTCTCTTGTTCTATGTCTTCACCTATAAAAGTTTACTTCAGTGGTGCCATTTCCCCCCTCCATTATTTTCAGAATACGTTTGGGAACATCTTGCACTGTCAGGGCAATTATTCCCGGCTTCATGCATTGCCTGAGCAAAGGCAGGGGCTACCTGAATATTTTCACCACAAGTCTGTGTCTAATGTTTGCTCTGAAAGTGTCCATGTGTGCTAGAAAGAACATATTGTCCATGGTCTGCATGGAATTAAACTGAGCAAACAAAGCTGCATGGCAAAAGAATGATGAATTCACTAAGTAGTATATTGGTGCTGCCACAGAGTATAAAACTATGATTTTATGTGTTTTTAAATATAACAGTTGAGTAATATTGAGCTTTATATCCCTTTCTGTACTGATTTCTATGAGAAGTCTTATTTCAATTTATCCAGTCTCTTTTCACCCCACCTTTTACTAAAGATAGACAACTGCATTTTCAGCTGAAATGCCCCAGAGCACCTGGGGCTTCTCACAGCTGCTGCCGTGTTCTGCCCAAATGAGAGCAAGTGATTCAGGCTCTCAGATGCACCACTGGTTTGATACCTGTGACTGGGGCAGTGGGAGCTGGTGAGACTCAGGAGCTCTAGGAGCATCATATTAGGCATGGCTTTGGAACACCTGCGTCTTTTATGATTTGGAAAACATGCAGGTCCAGAAAGAAAGGGAGTTAAACTCAGTTCAATATTTTGATTTCCAGCCTTATTTTAGGAGGCTAATTTTTGCAGCAGCTGCAATGACTTGCTAAATCCTAAGCAATTCATCAGAACTGGCCCAGCTCAGATCCAACCTGCCAAGAACAATTCATGTGGGTGGTTTCCACCTCCGCTGCCACCTCTCATGGAGACCCTTCAGCTCCAGTGAGTAAGGAAAGGTTTCCAGGAGGATTACAATCTAGGCTAGCCTGCTTACAGCTCCCTCTTTGCTGGGGCCCAGTGCCTGTCCCATTGCATGACCAATGTGTCCACTATAGCCTGTATCTGCAGTTAGCTACTGTGAGATAAACACACTCCCAGTCACACAGACTGGGAAGAGCTCATTGTTCATCGTTTAATAGGGAACACATGGAAGATATACATTGTTGTTCACATTTAGTGAGCTAGATGAGCCTGTATTTGTTTAGTAGTGTACAGTTCTCAAATGCCTCTGTATGTGCCAACATGATGTGCTGGGATGGAAGGCCTGGCCATCATGACTCCTAACCCCATGGTCACAGAGTGAAGGCCTGGAAGACTTCTCATGAAACCATCTGGATTGTATTACCTGGAGTACAGCCAGCAGGTCAAAGGTGTGGAAGAGATTATACTCCTCCATCAGGCAACTTTGAGTTTTTCTCCCCCAAGGAGGAGTACAAGACACTGGTGGAGTGCAAGGCATCCAAGGTAAGGTTGAAGGAGTTAGTCTGCAGAAAAAAGCGTAAGTGTATATATATGACTGCTGTCTACAGCAACCTAATGGGAATATGAGAAGAGAGACAGGTTCTCCTTGGAAGCAGAGAGGCATAAGTTTTATAAAACTTGTAAAGAAAGCTACTGATAGCAGAGTTTCACTAGTAATACTACAGTTCTGTTTATAAAAGTAACAAGATGTTAAGGTAAACTTGATGCAATTAAAACCAGCCTGAAAAAACAATCAGATCCCTCTTTCATTAGCAGACTTTGTTGGAGACCAGTATTGCTATTTGTGCTGTCTGAACAGTATATAATTCTTTGCACCACTTAACAGAATTTCTCAGACCCTGAAAGCAGAGTCAGATCTTTAGAAGTAGTCACAATGAGATATTAAAAAGGTTGATCTTCATAAAAAAGCAAAAACAAGCCTTTGGAGACACATGGGTGTTGTCACCTTACAACAATTTCCCATTTATTAAAATCAATGAAAGAGAGGTGAAACCAACACATTTCTGGCCCAGCAGAGTCTGAGCCCATTAAACTCTTCTGGCAGTGAGAGGGATATGGTGTACTCCCAATATATTCCCCTGGGGTCCTGCAGTTTGTGCAGGGAAAAAAAACTTAATTCCTGGTTCTGCTGCAGACTTTTCCTTCTTTTTGAACACACCTCTAAGGCAACATTCACAGAGAGCTTAAGCACTGGAGCAGCAGCCAGCACTCACACCCCACTGTGCTAGGCGCTGACATTTTCCTTGGGGAGAGAGTGTCTTGTCTGGCATGGCCACTGCCTGGGCAGGGCTAAGCAGCTCTGCATCTCTAAAGTCAATGTTTCTTCGCTGTTCAATCTGCCCAATCTGTTCAAAGGATGCCAAGCATACACCTACTGGTGTGGGATGTGACAGCCTAACAAAGCTTCAGTTCTCCTCTGTTGCACTCCCAAGGGTTCCATGGGCTGGACTGACTTTGAGCATGGGCAGTGCCGGTACATATCTATCCAAAACATACCTTTCACATAAACTCACAACAGCTCAGAATCAGGTGTTGCAATGTCCTTGGTGAGTTGAATCCATTCTCTGCTCCACAGTCCTCAGTCTGCAGAACTCGGAATGTAGTACGTCTCTGTTTCATTTGGACATCGTAGGGATAAGTACATTCAAAGCTAAGCAGCAGAGGAGCATGCAAAGTCCTCAGGAAAAGCTGTCTGCCATTTATCAGCTATTTAATGATGTAAAAAAGGCACAGGAAACAAAAGGCAATGCAAAAAGGTTAAAAATGTAAGCTATGTGACACATTCTTGTTCCTACAATTTTTTCTTTTGGAAGTTCATAGCTAGAAAAACTTTACCTCTATCAGTTCCACATACTTCTATTGATATTATACCACACCTCATGGTAGTGACTTTCTATAATGCTTTATAGTTTGTAAAAAAATTTAAATCATCAGATGACTTATAACTATGATTCATGTTATTGTTATTGCTCATTATTATCATTTGTCATATGAGACAATGCCTGGCTATGCACTTTTCCTCTTTTGAAAGAGAAATCTGGCTCAGCTCTGAAGGCTCCAAATTCTGTTTATTATACTAGCTGAAACATGTTTATTGCACTGTCATGTTTTTATATCCCTCCTGCTACCTTGTTCAAAACATACTTTTGCACTGACCAAATTGTGAAAATTCTGCAAGGCTCTGCTCTCTCTGATCAAGCCACTGATCCACCGAGTTTAGCAGCCTCATGTGGTGGTAGCCTGTATCTGACCCAGAAGTGTCCTCCCCCTCTCAGTACCACACCTAATCCTGAGAGGCCTTTCATGGGGAAGAGCCTTCATGACTTCCAATCCTAAGATTTCCTGAGTTTTAAGCTCTATTCATTACTCAAAAAATGTGAATTAGAAAGAGTCATGTACTACCTGCCTGTATGGTTGTTATGGCATAATAGCATTTGATTGAGAGGAAAAGCCACGGGAGACATATATGCAATAGCTAAAAGTAACAGTGGTAAAGCAACAGTAATGACAACCCTATTTTCATGTTGCAGCTGTAGTGAGTTTCTGCATAACTTGGACCAAGAGGCTTTTAAGGCATTTTGACTGAAGCCTTTTGAAGCCCTGAGCTATGCTGACTCCACAGCTTGATGGCAAGAAATCTGTCAAATCACATTCTGAACACAAATAACAGTTAAAGAAAGTCACCTTATGAGAACTCACTCACTGTTCACTCCTTGAATTTGTACCACTTCTGAAAGACTAGCAAGCTCTATCTTTGGACATCTAGAAATGTGATTGTTTCCTCCTGATTTTTACCATTGGATCTAATAAGTTACATTACCTCCCCCTCAAAAACTTACATCATCAGGTTTGTCTGTGACTCAATAACCAAAGGGATATTGCTAGAAACATGCAAAAGGTTCATGGTTGCATGAGAACCTCCCAAACACTTTTCTTGGCTTTGCAATGATGTCAATATTTATTGTCACTGCCACAGAGACAGAAAGATTACACAGATACAGCCAGGATACTGCACTTGCAGTTTTTATAGGGTTTCATGCAGCACTCTCCCTCTGGCTTTGAATTTAAGAGATATTGCATTCTGTCAGTGAGATGAATTTTTCATTCAGCACAGGCACTATTGTGAGAGGAAGAGAACCAGTGGCTGATGTGTCTGTGTTCCTGTTTCTTGCTCCAAAGATCCCAGCTGGATTTGAGCCTCATAGGAGTGATGCTAATTCTGTAGTGCCATAACTCCCTTAGGTCAACATAAGCAAATGCTGATGCTAAAAGAGGCAGTGCCAACTTCCTGCTGACCCAATCAGTGTTTTCACTCTCTTTGCTTCCCCAGTGACTGCAAATAGTCATATATACATATGGGAGGGGGGGAAAAAAGGGTTGGTTTTAACCCAGAGCACTGTCCTGTCCCCACTCACTGTGTGGCTGCGTGAACATCTGGCAGATGGGAAGGAGAGACATGCAAATGGCAATAAGCAGGCAGAGGACTGGAAGGTAAGCCAGGACTGGTTATTACAGTTTAAATGAATTCTGGAACTAGCAAGAAAATTACAGCACTTGTACAATGTCCCCTCATGGCTAAACAAGAGTGGAAGGAAGGTGTGCAAAAGTACAAGGCAAACATCCCCAGTCCATTAAATCTGGATTAGGAAGATTAGATGAAACAAATTTTCTGACTCAGAAAATGCCATCAGACCTGTTCAGGCTAGGCTAAATGTACCTAAAGAAGCCCTTACTTAAAAAGAGCTTCACACTATCTGTGGTGACATCCAAAATCAAGTACTGGTAGTTTCTAATAAAACATAGCCTAGTCAAGATGCTCTTTTAAATCAAAACCATTGCCTCATCTTTTTTTTTTTTTAAGTGAAAATCACTTGCCTCATGAAAAGTTTTTATGTTTCAGAAAATTATATTGAAAATAATGTTTCTTAATAATGACACTTATAATGGCATTACTTAAAACAATTAAATCAATTTGTTCAATAAAATTCTTCAACTGAACTGCAATATTTTGACACTATGACTGATTGAGTTTACTGCCTTTGCAATTAATGAAAGATTGGTTCCTTTAGCAATTACACTCTGATTAGTCCACAGCAAGATATTTTCCATTACTCATCCCCCACTGCTATCAAAAGGCCTTAACTTCAGGCTTTTAGTTCTCTTTAATCGTAAATTAACCGAGTTTATCAAAGTCCTTGCTCACTAGAACTCTGAGAATATTTGATTTTGTATTTTACCTGTGCTAAAACTTCATCAAAATAAGAAAAAAACAAGTAGTAACTAGACACTAAAGCACAGGCACCTAATGTTTTTGGTTTAATTAAAAAAATACTAGTTGTGGCTGTTCAAGAGCAAGTAAGAGTTAATGCTAAAAACCTGTGATAAAAAAAATAACTGTTTATTACAAAACAGCATAAAGAATCTTTTCATAGCCCAAGTAATCAAGCTTCTGTCAAAGTGAGATAATTGGCAATCAAACTTTCGATTCAAACACAGCTGCTGAAAATCAGACACAAGAAGCCAGACACTGCACTCCACTTTGAGCACTCACTCAGAAGTGAGTACAGAGGCTTGGCAGTAGCTGAGACCTTGTAATCCTGAACAGTTGTAGAAGAACTCAAAAAAAAAAATCTCTAAATTGGAGAGTTTTGTCTTTCTGAAGTTGAAAACAAATGTATTTACCTTGCTGGTCAAAATGGTACTTAATGAGAAAAATCTCTTCATATATTAGCTTTTTTTTTTTTTATTAAATGAAAACCCCCAAAGTACTAAAGGTGGCTCTTGACTTCCAGTACAGAATTAATATTTTTTAAAATCAAATTCAAAAGTAAGTAGAATTTTTCCTGTCTCAACAGATTGAATGAACATGGCAGGGAAGATTGTGAGCCCAGTGTAATGAGCAGGCACCATTCCTGCAAAGACTCATCATTCTTTACTCTGCTCTTGTCTGTTGAAAATAATCAGAAATTAAATATACTGGTGTTGATAAAACAGAGATGCATTATGTATTTATTTTGTCACCATTAGTTTCCATTTAGTTTTTTTCCCATCAAATGTTAAAATTTGTTTAATATGGTATAAGTTTTGTTGCTTATTCTGCTTGACTCTGTTAAGTAGGGTTTGAAGTAAAATCTGGAAAACAACAATTCTCACAGGAAATTAATGTTCTGCTTATAGGTGCTGCATACTCATACACCTCTATTGTTCATTATACTATTTTGGAAGTGTGCACAAATATCGACTAGTAATTTCATAAATCTGAAAACCACAATTCCCAGGTGATGACCATGACCCTAGAAAAAGCCTAGAGAAAACAACCTCTTTACGAGACATACCTTGCAATAGATGTTTGTTTAACTGGAAATCCACAAGAGCAGCTGCCCAGTGCAACGGTACATATTTGCTTCTGAATCCTTTCTCAAAGACACTATTTAAACATGCTGATGAACTGAGCTGGATTTTCCCCCACCTCCATTCCAGTAAAATAAGGAGACTCAGAAGATAAAATTTGTTTTGTTATTGCAAGTAGTGCTATGTGGTAAGTGAGAAATTTACTTTCTATAGTCCTATATAATTATGAGGGTGGGAAATGTCCATTTCCTGTACAGATGCAATGTCTGTGAGTACTGTTCAGTGATATTTCTATTTGAAAATGAATATACTTCTATTTCTAGAAGGGTTTGTGTGTAGAGCTTCTTCTTGTCCATATTTGGCTTGATGTTAAAGATCTGCTACTCTAGCTTCACCACTCTGGCAAGAGGAAACAAGTATTCCTTGTGTTGAGACTGTAATTCCAAGCTATATGATGTGTTTCAGTCTGGTTCTGATTTATGTTAAGCTGTAAACAACTGAGATTTATAATGTGGGTTTTATGATGTGTGCAGCTGGACTAGCTATCACTAAGTTTCATGCAACATCCTGAATAAGAAGAGTGATGACAGAGATTTTTCAAATGCCCCAGATCTGGGCTAAATTTGATGCTTTCATCTAGAGGGGAAAATTTGTGCCTCCTGAGCCAGTTATATTTTACACTTTCTTTCTGGACTCTGTTTTGACCTTTCCTCTGTCATTTTCTGGATGGGATTCCCTTCACCCAGTGAATAACTTTAATTGGCAGAAGAAATTTCTAAAGTGCTCCTTCTCTCTTAGAACTGTTTCTGGAGCCATTCTACCTCCAAAGCCAAAGGAATTGGGAGTGACCATAGCTGAGGTGGTGTCACTCATCTTATCCTCCACCACTGGCCAATGATGTAAATTATGGGAAAGGACTTGACTCAATGTCCTTTCTTCTCCTGTGGGCAACACTTATGCACGTGACAAATTTCATTCTTGCATGGAGAAAGCTCTGATCTGAGGGTACACTAAGTGACACAAAAATAAACTTTCTCAGAGTAGGAATGATATTTTCCATAGTAAAATAGAAACAAAAAGGTACAAGATGAGTCATGCTTTTAAGGTGTGTGAAGTCCTGTGACACCTGTTTCAAACAAAACTAAAAATGTCTACCAGCCACTTTTTTGTTTGCTCTGTGTTTCACTTGCTTTGGAGTTTGTAGGCAATAAATCATAAAGTAGAAACATGGGCTGAATCCTGAGATATTTATTCAGACTGAAGTCTTGTTACTGGCAAAGGTCTGTCCGAGTAGCTTTGCCATCCCCTAATTTTTTCCACTGTAAAAAAATTAAATAAAAAAGAAATATAGTAAAAAATCATATTCCTGCAGCATCCAGCAATTTTGCTTCTCTCAGTTTAAATAATCAGAACATCACCCACTAATCTGCTTTGAAAGAAGAAGGGTAAAACCATGCTTTCTAACAAGACTTGTGGTGAGCTCGAGGAACACAGATTTACTCCTTAGATGTCAATCTTTGGTTTCATGGTGGAGTTTTCTGGTTCTGGCTAACTTACCCCATCTTTTCTCATCCCCTGCAATGACTTTAACAGGAATTTCTGAAAAATTACTTTTAAATTTTCAGATCCAATTTCTGTATAAATTAAAAAAGAGAAAATGAGCTGTATTAGGGATCACAAGTACTTTGTAAATGAACATTATTTTTAGATTTCTAGGAAGCAAGGTGTCATACCTTTTGTTGTAATGTTTTTAAAATTTCTATTTATTTTGAAGAAAACTTTGTCTTGAAGAGAAATGATAGTTTAGTGTGGATAGTGCATAGAGAAGCTGTCCATGGTGGCTATAAAATCCAAATTGAACCATCAAGACCAGATGGTAATCTTGACTATTACTACTACTATTTTTAAGACCTATCAGTTGTAGTGATGTGAGAAATGTTTTAAGATGTAATTTTCAGTTCTGATGAGAAGAAGAGTGTGACAGTAATTTTCTCTCCTTTTCACAATGATTTTATGAAAATCAGTGTTTGTAGAATTTTTTGATTAGCTAATATTCTGTATGAACATGAATATTTTAATTGGATACCTGAAATTTTCTGTCATAAGAATAAATGACTTCCAATGACTTCCACAAAGAAGTTCTGGACTTACTACTAAGCAAAAGCAATGAATATGTATTGATGACTTTAAAACAATTAATTGTGACTCAGCAAAGTGGTATGTACAACAAATGCTATCATGATGGTAAAAATTTTTAACCATGGACCAAGATTTTTTTAAACTCTTTTCCATGTATTCTTGAATGTATTCTAAAGGTAATGGACATCAGGAAGCCAGAGGTGTCAACTCTTTCAACATGGACACATACTGATGGCCTGAGGGATGGCGGGAGGTGGCTCTGGTGAAACCATGCTGTTTTCTCTTGCTTTTTCTCCAGAGAGCTCAGATGCTGTTTTCTGGGATCTATTTATTTGAAAAACTCATTTATGTCTTATCATACATGAGCTGGACAGAGCTACCAGGTTTTACTCTGCTGATATTACATGAGTATTCACCCTTTGGGGTGTGAAAATTTTCTAATAAAGATCCTTAAATGTAGAACTTATTTCATTCATTCCAGTCCTCCTTTGCCCCAATTCTTTTATGCACAAGTGAAGAAAAGAGAAAGAAACAACACTGACTTATTGTCTTAGAAGGATTTCTTTGTACATAAATTAATACAAATGGAGATAATTGATATGGAAAATATGAATACAGCATCCCAATAGAAGAAAAAAAAAAGCTTAATTACTAGTCTTCTTAGTGATAATTCTTTTGAAATGTGGGTAGGCTGGTACCTTAGTTCAACTCATAGGCACATACCACAAGAAAAGTAAAATTCACTATGTTCTATTCCTTTGTTTATGTTATTGGACAGTATTTTCTAAAATTTTTAGTGTTGCTGCTTTTGATCCTAATACTGCAGTGTCAGATATAGGCTTGTCTTTGGAATGAAGGCCTTACAGCAGAAGATTGAAAGGACATTTCTCATCTTCTAGTGCTGTAATTGATTTTATACAGCTTGAGGTCTATTCCTATGCAGGAACTGAGCAACAAGTTGGGCAGTAACATCCAAATACCGTAACATTTAGAACTTGGAGCCACTCCCCAAGACACCATCAACATTATTTCAATGATATCTGTGACTCCATTTAACATGAAGGGCCCTAATTTAAGCTGTGTGAAAGACCCAGCTTCTATGGTTTATGCCAGGGCAATATCTTAAATCTATCACACCTCTCTCTTTCTGACTGTTGGACTAAATTCTCAAAAAATAACCTTCCCTTCTCATTACCAGCTAATGATTCACATTTATGATCTGAGTTTCTCCATTTAACCGTGCTCTTCCTGACTTTTGAGGAAGATGTGTCTGTTCAGCCACACTGTTTATCCACTTCAGAAATGACCATCCACTCTTACTGCCTGACATGAAGCACAGAAGAAGGCATTTCACTTAAAAGTACAGCTTTTACAAAGTCCACATAAAAACACACATGTAAGCCCCAGGATAATAATCATAACTTATGGACAATTTCGATAAACTTATTTGCTTTTTTATGGTAAATTTTGACTTTTCCACCCAGGTCCTTAAAACCTACAGCTTGATGAACTAAGCTTTATGGCTTAAACATATATGTATTCAGAAATATTTTTGTGACAATTTTGCTTCAAAAATACTATTATTTGTTGTAAGAGATTTTGTCAAAATATAGATATTTCCCACAAAAGTTTGTTAGAAATGTCCACAAAAGGAAAACATTTAGTCAGGTAAACCTAAAAATGTATACAAGAATTCTCCTGTCATACACAGGGTAGCTCATGGAGAGAAATATTCTAAGAAACTTACTCTTTTTCAAAGCAAATTATTAGGACAGTAAATAGGTGCAAAAAAATAAAAGCATTCAATTACTTCCAACTAAGCAGTCATTTCTTAAATGTTAGGCTGGAAAGTCACTCAAATAATTGCTCAAAAAGAATGCACTGGAGTCTACAGATTAGTTAAATTGAATAATTTTATACAAGAATTAGGGACCTGGTTCTCCTTTGTACAGAAGTGTCTTTATGTGACTGGCAGTACCGATGGGCTGTAAAACAAGTGCTGCAATTAATGCCTGACTGAATGATCACTGGTACCGACTGGAACAGTGAAATGAAACTAACCCCCAAATTTCCTAAAGATTTTTTTAAATGAGAAATCCCATAACTGTTATCAAAATTACTAACTACTAAAGAATAGAAAAAATGTATTGATTTTTTAAATTTGATTTTTATGACTGAAGACTTCAGAAAGGTATTGATGCTGTGCTAAAAATACACTGGAAGAGTACAAAGGGCTTCTGTGATTTCATTTAGGAATAGCTTCTTTGTTTTTTGGCCAAGTCATAACAGGAAAACAAGTATTTTTCGTGGAAATGCTGACATAACTTTACTAATAGCACCTTTAACAGAGGTTGTTGCAATGTGTATTTACTCAGGTACAGGATTAAATAAGAGATGTGAACTCACCATGGCAACCCCTGCATCACATTGCAGATATGCTGCTTCTAAGATACGGCAAATGTTTCTGAAGAAATACACATGAATATGAGGTAAACATCTATCAATTCCAAATTGTGTTTCAAAAACACTTTGCTATACAGTATAACAAAAAAGCAGCACAACTTGATGCTCTCTAAGTTAATGTATTACTGCATGGCATTTTCATTGTGTTACAACTTTTGGCTCAGAATCTAAGTTTAGATAACTCCCCAATTCACTATAGCAAAAATAGTGACAAACACACTATTGAGCTCCTTGTAAATATTGCTGTGAATCCTTACACTCCTTAGGAATCCAGGAAACTCGCTTGTCTGATTTGAACCACCTCCTGCTGATGTTCTGAGATCTTGCAATAATGCTAATGTTCACCATAAGGTATTCAGCAGAATTTTGTGAATATAGTTAAAGTTGAAAGTAGGTTTTCTTCTAAACGGTATTTTTTCCCACTTTTAGACACTTTATTGTTTCCTCTTCATTATCCCTCTGCATCTTGAATATTATCAGTGAATGTATGTCTCTTCAATTTATCTTTATTCAGGTTGGCTTTTCTTGTTTTGCATAAAAAAATCTGTCATTATATTTACAAACTACTGCTTGTTGTTTTTTGTTTTTTTTTTTCCCTTAAGCGTTTTCACTTTCACCTTCAAACCACTTAGGCCATGCCTAAGGTGAGAACCTGATGATATCCAGTGGGGTGCTATACCTCCTGAAATTAAGTTTTTGCTGCTGTATCTTTATTATACTTTACCCCACAGTTCATGGCAGAATTTACTCCTGCAAGGAGAACTAAGTGATCATATTGCTTTGGATTTTTTCTTGATATTAATCTATTGTCTCTTCCCAGATTTCACTTGTAGAGGAAATCTTCACTTCTCACACTGCCTGAGATGACTGATAAAGAAGACAGCAAGTATTCTGGACTGACACGTGTAGTTGTCTCCATACATTCTTTCATCACTGTTCAAGGTTTTGTCTCTGTGGTACAGAAATGCAGGAATCCTAAATAAATTTTGAATATTTTTGGTAGCAGAGGTTTAATTAAAACCTCAAAGATTTTTATTAGGCCCAACAACCTCATTGCCAATCTGCATATCTACATTTTATCAGAAAGAAAAGGTTTTTTTATTCTTACAAACGAACAAGTTTGTTCATTGAAGATGTTAAAACATTTGTTTAAAAATTCTACTGATAAAATGCATCCCCTTACATGCAACTTATTTTCACTTCAACACCACTTCTCCATTGGTTTGCTGTATTTTTTCACAGAGGGTTATTTACACTTGGGGCAAGGGGTGATGTACAGTGACTGAATGGCTGGTCCTTGGTGTTTCTGTGCACTGGGGACATGCCCTGGTCCCAGGTAACCCTGGTTA